CAGTATAGGCTTTTAAGGCCTACAAGTAAAAAACTACATGACGTCACTTCCGGTTTCAGGCAGGAAATGGCGGACATGCGATCGTTCGCTTTGATGTCTATTTCAATGTAGGATGTGTTACGAACAGCTGATCGGATCGGCAAAGCGTGTTTCTGTAATATAATGATTTTGTTCCTGCAAGCGCTTTTTAGGCAATTTTTGCAAAGCTATATGTGGAAGGAAACCGTGACCTAGGACAAGCTGATGGCATAAGATGTAAGTACAACTCCTCTGGTTTCATATGCAAAAAAAATTATTGCGCTAGCTTACGTGGTTGCAGAGCTACAGGGATTTAAACATAGTTATGCAAAACGGAGCGTGCCGCTCTGACCGGCTTTAAAGGGTTAATCCAGATGATACAAGTCAACTATACAAGCATGTCTTAAAGACAAAGGCCTGGATGACCTTGTATGAAATTCATACAAAACTTATTGTTCTAAAAAAGAGCTTATTTTAGCTACCCTCGTATTCAATCAGAGGTCAACAAAACAGTAGATCCACATACGTATTTTACACAATTATACTAAGATGTTAAGTTCTTCGAAGTCTCAAACCAGGGAGCGGTCATGTGTTAGGTCAATGTGTTAACCACTACCCTATGGGCCACTGTGTAAACCCTATGAGATCAAAAGGATTAATATTTTATGATAATAAAGGAATAATATGAATTTCTTTCCCATTTCCATCCACGTCATGGTCATGTGTGGGCTTGCAACCTGTCACAGAGCTAACGCATAGAGACAAACTACTACACACCAATAAACCTAAACCAAAGCATGTCTATGGGAGGAAGCCACAGTATCCCAATGCAACCTTCACAGACGCAGGGAGAACACGCAAACTCCACCAGGTCGGATTCCAATCCAAGACCTTTCTGCCCTGGGGTGACAGTGCTAAACACCACACCACTGTCCTGCCTCATTCCCATGTGGGAATTAAGAAATATACAGAACAGGATGAGGCACAATGAAAAAATTATATATTTTGCAGTCATGACTATTCAGTATTCGTGAGACTTTAATGTGTAAATCTCGTTGTTTTTTTCACCAGATTTTTTGTCACTGTTATGCCGTTACTTTAGCAAAACTCATATTTTACGTATTCCTACAATGGTAAGCATGGTTGGTGTAGTTTTATGAAGGCTGCAACATAATTTCACCTGAGTTTAACTTCAATAAGAATCCAAGTCTCTCCTGAATGATGTAAGCAGGCAGCTACAGGGGTAAATTAATCAAGTACAACAAATAATGAACAAATAATCATTAGCATCAACCATACCTAAAGGTAGCTGGACAAGAACACATGAACAAGCTGCATGACACAATAAAATATAAATATGCCATAAGTGTCCACATGGACAGGTTATCCTGTAAGGTCTTCAAAGTTTCAGTTATTTCTGTGAGTTTGTGTGAAGATACATCAATTATGCTCAACACTGAAACTGGAATCATTGTATGATTACCTAATTTGGAAAATAATCTGATAGCAGGTGACTGAATGCATGTTAATCCATAGTCTAGACTTCCAGATGAGTACTCCCCTGCATCTTTTACCCCACATTCTCCATTATGGCTGCCTCTCTAAAGCATTCGTCCATGGGCAGCCATACTCGTGAGATGCCACAATTGAATGATCTATTAATTATTCAACTTGGCCTCACTGAATAATCTGTTCTTTTTTTGCCTTTCTTCTTAAATGTCAAATGGGTAATACCACTCATCAATAACCCTAAGTGTGAAAGCTGCGACTGCATCCAGGAACCCCCAGTGTGGTGCCAAATTGCCCATCCGAAACCTTTCCCTCACTCCCCTCCTCCCACCATGCCCCTTCACACCCATGCACCACATATTCATTCAGTGTCATTATTTGGCAGACACCCACCTCCAGGGAAAGCTCCTCTATCTGCAACTGCTTCATGGCACTGCGATTCCCATCCACATTTTTGTGGTAGTAAAGCACCATTACGTCATACTTCTTCATGATGGACTTGTAGTTCTTGGCACTGAGTTCATGGACCCGGTCTTTGCCATCATACTCAGGGATCTCCAAGCCCTTCTCTCCCCAGCACAGGGTCCCCAAAGAGGCGAAGACCCCTAAAAACACCCAGCACCATTTCATGGTTATCGTCACCTGTTCGTTGCAAGAACTCTTCTTCTCAATGCCTGGTGATAGCGGGGTGGAAGGGCAACTAAAATACTCTTAAAGAAGTTAATGTTGTCCCAAACACAACTTAGTGTCTTCTTCTTGTCCCGCAGGCTAGAGAAGAGCAGGCCTGACATTAACACCCTCCTTTTAAAACAGATTTGCACATGGTTTTGCTGATGTCACTAGCTAAAGAGGGTGGTACCATTTTCTGGGGCAGTAAAGGGGGCACAATACTGATCCTGCCCATCCGCAAGCCATTGGCTGCCTAAAATGTAGGAATGACAGTGATGGGGTCAGTCAGGGTGGTTAGTGCTCAGGAAAATAGCAAATGGGGGGGGCAACATAGGAGGAGCCATGTTTAGGCTGTAGAGCCACCTGTTTGGAGCTAGGGCTATGAAAAGGGAAAACAGTGTTGCTGGCTGTTTGGAGAGCTGCAGATACCATCTCAGTGTCTTTGAGGGCTGAAGGTATGGATAGAAGTATGATGAGAGTGGGTAGAAAGGAGAGCTCTAAGATGCCTTTCCCATATTAAGTTTTGCAGAGGAGACACACTCTTGCTAAAAATAAGAGCTCTATTGGACAACACTCTGAACAACATGGTGTCCACAGAGTCCACATAGAGGGTCAGAGAGTAGTTGTCTTTAGAAAAACAGAGAAAATGGGAACACTTGTTTGTTTCTCAGAAAAATAACCTTTAATAGTTCTCCAATTTTCTAGCCACCCTCCACAACTGGTGTCAGTTATATTTGGTTCACTTATTTGGTTCATTTCCAACCATTCCCAATAGGTGAAAAGTCTGGCTTTTTCTCATTGTTAAAACAACAGAATGAACGAATTGTACACGTTAGCTCTACTAAAAATGACTACTTTGACTTTAAATCAGCAAAGATTACTTCAGCACTCATCAGGAAACCCCTATTTAAACAAATATGAGAGATTCTCTGTAGGAAGTGTTGACATAACAGGATTGCTCATGTGCAAAAAGTCCTAAACTCTCATCAATAAAACATCACAATTCATGACAGTTTATGTTTGACTGAAGACGGAGATGATATATTATATCTACAGTGACTGGCTGATGCACGAGCGTGCTCTGTGCACACTCCTCTGGCCTGTGCGTCAGCTATATTTGAATTGGAGCAGAGAAATTAGATTTAACAGAAGAGTGGCACAGAGAGACTCAGATACAGTGTGAGAGCATGTCAGCTATTAGTTTACAATGAGAAAGGGGAGAGGGTGGCTATTAATAACAGTTTGTAATATGATCGCCCTTCTCATTCTGCCAGCATGGTGGGTCAGGCAGCATGTGTCTATTTAGATGCCAGTGAGGGCCGCCGTAGGGGTGCTGGCACAGCTAGGGCATCATCACAATGAGTTTTCAGGTGTAAATATATTTGACTTCATATCTATTGGTGTGTGAAACACCCGATTTTCCGTTTATAAAGTAAGGAGTGGTGTAGAGACATTTTTAAATGTTGTTAAAAGGCTGACTACACTTAGGTATTGATGTTAAAACATTACCTTAGAAGATATTAACATTATCTGTAAGTACATTTCTGTGTAAAAAGTCATGATCCACCCCTCTTTTCTTTATATTTTGTGAGGAAAATGTGAACAGGTGCAGCGATTTATCGAAACATGCGTGAACAAACATAGAAGTAGTATGCATGCAAAATACATGTACAGTTCGAATGAGCTTGAAAATCAGTATTCAGCATGACCACCTTTATTTTTCAACACAGCCTTCTGTCTCTTAGGCAGCCTTATTCTAATTTCTTTAAGTAGTCTTCAGGAATAGTTCTCCAGGCTTCTTCAAGGACATTCAAAGCTCTTCTTTAGATGTCGGCTGCCTTGAAATGATCCCACACTCCTTAAGTAATGTTGAGGTCCAGGCTCTGGGAGGCCAATCATGACTGATGGTGTTTTTTTCTATGCAGGTCTGCTTTTACTTCATTGGCAGTGTGTTTGAGATCATTATCATGCTGAAAAAAAACAAGGCTGTTGCCATTCAGATGCTTTCCAGAAAGTATTGCATGGTTGATTATAATCTGACAGTACTTTTTCCATTTAAAATTCCATCAATTTAACAAGACCCAGCACCGCTGGCTGAAATGCAGCCCCAAATCATTATCAAACCTCCATCTGACCTGTTGTCACTGATTTTCAGTCCAGTTATTGTGTCATTTAGCATAGCTCAGCCTTTTCTCTTAGTTTGGTTTGGTTAGACACAACCTTGAGGTACACCTTTGAGATTGGTGAGGTCAGGTTCAGAACTGCAAATGATTGAAAAAGCAGTCAAAGTCCAGAGAATAACTTTGATAGACCTTCAAAGTTTGGCTCAATGGAAGCAAAACATAAATACATGAGGGGTGACTCAAGACTTTCTGCTCTTCAGTATTGCTTTCAATTAACCAGTGTTTTTGTCGAATTTAACAAAAGTGTAAAAGCCACAGTTTCAAATTTGTTGGCTGTGGTACCTCGCCTGCCAAATACATAATGAGCAGTCTATTACTGCTTACAAGAGATCCACAGCAACAAAGCAACACAGTCATTAAAAATGCTTTAACGTTCCCACGAGGACGGTAAAATGCCAGACTTTAGCTAAAGGGAGACATGTCCAATTTGTAGCGCGACGGCAGAGTAAATAATCAGTAAAATGCGCAGTAATACCACCTGACTGGAATATTCTGCACACGAACTAGAACAGGTGTTATGTAATACTAGTGCAGCGCCTGCTGGTGTGGCCATATGCAGCTGTTGGTCACTGGCATCTCTGTGAGATCACTGGTGAGAGATGATGTCAGAGCAGAGCAGGATTTAACGATGATGCCATCAACAGACTGTCACAGGCTCTGCACATTGATTGCTTACACCCTCAATGTGAGACTACTTTTCATATGTGACACTGCACTTACTTTAGGTCCTAACAATACAGCTGCCTAGTCTGAAGTGGATCGGTCGAATACTAGTTAGGTTAAAAACATGTCAGGATTAACCTTAATTAATCACCCAACCTTAACTTCAAGAGATGTTGCCTGATGTCTTCATCTAAATACTTTGTTCTAAGACTGAGTTATTACTATACCCTATATAATACTATATTATTACTATTACTATTAATAGTAATACTAATAGTATTAAAATTAATATTAAAAAAAGCAAAATGAGGGGAAAAAAAACAGATTTTTAGATGGTTGAATAAGACCACATTGCATTCTTCCTCTTCATGCTCATCAAGAAGCACATAAAGGTCTGTTGATGAGCTTGGGTTACATTATCAACTGTGAATGAAATATCCTGAAAGGCCCTCGCAGTTGCGAGGATGGAAGATAGCTGCAGGATTTTATATTTCCTAAAGATTCATGTGAGAAGACGACAACAGATGCATAGACACAAGCAGAGTGAGCGTCTCCTCTTCCTATTCAGCTTCCTGATCTATCATCAGGGAGAACAAGCACTGTAACAGGAACGAGACTCTCGCAGTCACTGAGAGCTTCCTGTTAAATATTAACAGGTGTGTGACTAAGACCATTAGCCACTGCTGCCTCCTTCATTCAGCCCTAACTGTGTCTGCTAACTGTTGCACATTTGAGGACAGCTCCCTCCTCTGGCGGTTGCCCCGATAACCCTCATCTCTTTTTTGGCTTGTTACGTCCATCTTCTCCCTCTCAACCCTCTTTAGTCTCAAACAGGACGAGTAATAACAAGCAATCACACGGTTTGTGCCGAGGTCATTAAACTCTGCATGTGCTGTTGCTAAGGCGACTGGTAGGCTGACTCAAACAGCTTGTTTTGTGAGATGAAGAAGGATCACTGCAAATGTGGCTCATGCAGAGCTAAAGTAAATCCATCAGCTTCAGTTAATTCTTTTCTTGTACCGATATGTCTCTGTTTGTGAAACAGAGAACCAAGAGTCATTTTCCCTCTTTCAGATTTAAAAAATGCTGTAACGATGTCCCCATTTAAGACTTTCATCGTTTCAGCACAGACTTTGCTGTACTTGTACTTTCAACTCCATATTGTGCATCACCTCCTCCACCATGGCAAGGGGTGAAAAGTATGACACATCCGAGTTGGGGTGCTAATGAGATCTAAAGGCTTGATCACAAGGAGAGAAAATGGAAGAAACAAGGGAGGTGAAAAGGTGTGATGGGTAATTTTAGGTGAGAGATCGAAGGATGAAAAAAAAGGTAAGTAACAAAAAGAGGAGAAAATGAATGACACAAATAAGGACACTGACTCATATAGAAAGCAGGAAAATTAGCTATTGGGACTAATAACAGGGGAGAATTTAATGTGTGTAAAGAGTTACCGCAAACTCCTCTGAGGCATAGTCATCCATAACAGATGCCCAAATCACTGTCTAAGGGCCACCTAGTGTGCAGCCACACTGCACTTCTGTAAGTTAACCACCTGCGTTAGGGGTGATCCCGCATCAGGTCTTTGTTGGACATGACTTTCAGACACTATTCATCTGCTGTCGAAAGCCTTTTAGGTGTGCTAATGCTATTTATGTCCTCCACTTATCGAGCTTCCACTATATTTTAAGTATATACTACACAGCATGCTGAGATATGCCAAGTTTTCAGATAATAGCTCTTTGGGAATCACCTTGTTGGTGCAAAGATAGTATTTATCATTATCCTCATCTTTTGTGTTTTTTTGTATATTCAGAGGAATCTACAAATAATAAATGAATTATATGTTTTTGCGGCAGGCTGCTAGTAAATTAAAGTGTCTGAACCGTGTGTTATGTGCATTTTTTTTTTGTGCTTGAATGATTCATAGGTCAGTGTTAAGTGGCTTAACGAACCAAAAAATATATTCCTCTGTAAAATTTTAAGTTTAACAGCTGGACTGAAAGTGATTTAAAAGGCAGCCACTGTCCAAGGAAATCAAACCTCACTTAGGCATAAGTAGCAGATCCCTGAAACACATCATCCGGTCTTCATTTAGTTTGTTGTGATCTCGTCACCCGACTGTAAAAGGAAAATTTAAAGAAATAAACTGCAGACTTTATAAGAAGAAGAATAAGTGCAACACTTGAATGTGACAAAGTAATGCTGTGTACAGTCAGTCAAGTAACATAAATCATAGGAAGGAGCCCAAAAAGCAGGCTCAATTAGAAATGCAATAAAAGAATATGATGGAA